ATAAATTGCTGAACGTAGCTATTCAGTGATTTTCTAGTTGCAAGGGAAGGGAGACAGGGAGCGCGCTAAATCCTCGCGAGACCCAAGGAGGCGGGGTTACGTAAGAACGTGCGCGGGTACGACTTAATCCGTCGCCTATCCGACGCGAATGAACGATCCAAAATCAATTAAGGACCGAAAAGATGAGAGGGGAGAGAGCCGGCAAGGTCGAAGTCGGCGGGTGATACTATTCACGGGCACCGCGCCGTGAAAATACTGTCGCGGGGGCCCGGGGGTTACATAATCGTTCACCTTGACAGCGATACTAGATTGGATCTATAGTACAACGGGCCCGTGGCTGCGCAAGCCGTGCAGAACGTTATTTCATAAATCCCGAGATAACATCCTCCAGAAGCACTACGAAATCGTGAGATATGTATTCGTGCGGGGAGTACATAACGAACACGGGGCTCGTTTCCCTTCCTTTTCCGCGTCGGCGTAACGTTGTCAACCGACGTGTGTAAAACGTCGTAAAAACGTAATGAATTCAGTCCCGGGGACCCGTGAGTCAACGCGTTCGCCGGCGACGATCGCGATAAATTTCCCTGGTGAGCGGTGCGCGATTAGATTTCGAATGAAGTCGGTACACGACAGGCCGCGGCTTCGGAGCTGGGGAGTACTTAACGTCGTGTCGCGGCCGCGGGAGGCTCCGTAATCGAGCTGATTAATGCCCGGTTTAAGAGAAACGGAGACTTCCGACGTATCGCAGCATCCGCTACCGTCCTGCGATCATTTCGACAGCCATGTTTTTACCGATAACGGGAACGCTTGAGTTTCTGTGGCGAATTTGCTGGGAAAACAACGTAATTTTAGTGAAGCTGTAGGAAGATTAGGATTCATTAATTGTTTTAAATTGGATTCGATGGATTCCGCTGTTAGGGGATGAAATTGGTAGCTAGAAGGTTCTAGAAGCTGGGAATACTAGATAATGGAACTAGCCAGTGAAATTGATTCGAGAATAGAGGTGTTTGATTGTTTGAAATTGAACGTGATGGTTTTAGTGGGAGGAGATGAGTACGAAGGCAAAATTGTTTGATTTGGAGAGATAGGATGTTACTACTGTAATCCTTAACTCTTAAGAAACCCTTACAGTCTGTAAATGTACGAGACAGTTTTGAACTGACGCAGTTTTATTGAAGGTATCGTTAGAAAATTCTCACGTGCCGCTGGATCACAGCGGTTTTCAGCGAGTCGAAGCTGAATTATGGTCGGCCGCTTGGTTCGGCCATTCTTTCGATCCCTTCGGCCGCGAAGTATGCGACGCCGTTTACGATCGCGTGGCTATGCGCACCGTCAATTAACGTAATTAACAATGTTATGAGTCATCTGGCTGATATTCACGTTTCAACGGCGTGTCCAGCCGCTTAAATATCAGTTGGGTAATCGTGGGGAAATTTATTTATTTTCCATCCACGCGCCGGTCGTATTTCTTGAATCGGCCGCCGTAAATCCCTCTCGCCGACTAATAACGCGCTTTTCCGTGCCCTTTCGAGCATGTTAATCTTCGCGTTTCACCGTGCGCCGAGGCGAGCGCACCGCCTCGGAAGTACGAACTTTAATTCGCCTCGATAAATTACGAATTGCTTCACGGAATGGTGTTTAAACGCGAGAAAGTCTCGTTTCTTTCGAGACGCGCGACGGCTGACGTGTAATTATCCGCGTGTTACCGACGAAAACGAATCGAAAAGAATCAATCGGCAAAATCGTTGATTAATGCGGGCCGACCGGATTGAGCTCGTCGGGATTTTCGATGCAACGTGCGTTTCGGAGCCGAGGCCGGCTCCGTTTCTCGGAAATGAAAGTGCGCCCGATCGGTCCCGATTTTCTGACAGAAAAAGGATCGCTCGCGGGGGTCGGTAACCTTGTAATCCGCGTAGAAAGCCAGCTGGAAAGCTCGCCGATGATCCTTTGATCTTTGCTCATATTAGAAGAATATTGCCGGACGCGTTACATCGGGGGCCGGGATTAATTATCGCCGATTGACTCGGTGCGAGTCGGTCTCCTCGCGGTTATTAGTACGATTTTTATTGCACCGTTATTAGCATTCGGAAATGTTAAGCCGCGTTGCAACGCGCGCGAATATAAATACGAGGGTCGTAAACCGTGATTAATAAAATTCGGATTTTGAGACGAGCGACGATGCGACTGGAAGGGGCGATGACGAGAACGAGGCCCAGAGAATTAGAAATAAATTGCTCGGCCGTCGGACAGCAGATATATAGGCGTACAGGGTCGAACTTTTCACGAGGAAGTTCAACCGTGATAAATAACACGTCGGGAGAGGCGACTTCTTAGATCACACGTTGAAGTCAATCGATCCAACGTTTCCTGGACGCGGACAGGGGGAATTATGTAATCGACGAAATTATGTAAAGCCCGTGACGCGAAGTCGATCTTCCTGATTTTCTTCTATTCAAATTCGAGACTTTCACGGGACCCTAGGCCTTCTTCCTACTGTCGCCGGTCGACAAAGGCTTCCCGGAGTTATTCATGGAACGCCTGCCCTATTATTAGGTCGCGTTCGGCTTCAATCGAGCTGCGGTTCCCTCCTAGATCTACCCTCGTCAAAGGAACCATCCTACCCGATGAATTGCGAGTCGTCGGTGAATCGCCACCCTCAATGCTCCCATTCAAACGCTCCTCTGCTCTTGTTCCGAACGGCCTTGAACTCGACCACTGCCCCGCAATCCTTTCGAGTGGGAGTGGAACGAAATCGAATAGCAACTGGCTTGTAATCAACGAAGGAAAATTTTGAAAATCATATTGTCTACCTTGAAACCATAAATTACAGTAACAATGTAAAATTTCGAAAATTTTATTGGCTGTCTTAAAAAGCATAAATTATAACAACGACGGAAAATTTCGAAAATTTTGATGGGTGATTCGATCACAGTCTCATTCGCATGAACAGATCCGTGAACCGATCGCGGAACAGTTTTTATCGGCGCGGAACACCTTTCCTCCGCGCAGTCGAACGACAAAAACCACGCAAGAAACAGGCGTCTAGCGTTTGACAAAAACCGATTCCCTGTAATTGAATCGTGTCAATAGTTTCTTTGAATATTCTTTGGCGATACCTAGTTATGGACGCTTGACTGACTTGAATCACGCGCTCGCTAGCAGCTAGACCACGACAAAAAGAGGCGGCTATGAAGTAACGTTGATCTACCGGGCTTTTAACTTTGATAAGCCTTTTTTTGCTTGTTATGCGTTCTTTTTCTCTTGTAATTTGATCGGATTTGTACATTGGGAACGTTTTTCGGTTATTCTAAATACTTTCACTGTCTGGTGGAATATTATTAGCAGATTTTTTAATGATGAACAATTTCCTTCAAATTTTTTAGCTCGATATATTGTAATGGCGTACTTAACTTTAGATTGTGGGTTTTTGTGTGTTTACTACTCGAGAAGATTAAACTTATTTCTGAGCATTTCAATTATATAAAAATAATATGGACATTTCTTTAAATTTTAGTGAGCCCATTTGTTTATTATATTGTGCAAATTACGGTATATTATCTGCTATCTAGTCATAATTATTAATTAAATTTGAACACCACTTTTTCTTATCACAAAGATAGTACATTTATCCATTTGATAACAATAATAAATTTTTCTGTGCCAAGGTTATAAACATATAGATTTACCGTATAAGTAATAGATAATTTAAATATTTTGTGAAGAAAGAATTTTGAAGATATTGAGACTCACCTTAAGTGGGGCATATGGGTAACTTTGAAATTCTGCTGTAAGGATGTTCAACGTGTTCCTGTGCCAACATCCGTCCTAATTCTTTTTTTGAACTGCTCATTGAAATACTCAAAGATGTTCTAATTGTTCATCAGATACATTGCGTTAACTGAACAACTTATTTTTACACAATTATCTACTTGGTTCGAATTTTTTATATAATTTTTAAAAAATTCTGTTGCACAAAGTTACAACACCCACTTCGTTTAACTGACAACCGTAAAATAACCTCTTCGCTGCGCGCGCAATCTGTTCGATCTGCGGATCACGTGACCCAGCTTCCAGAGCTCCACAGTTTCGCGCCGTTGGACATATTGCGTGCGTGGTGGTAAAAGCAGTTTGCGTTCTATAAATAAACAAAATAAGTCAGATTAATGTTGTGCAACGGAAGTTTCTAATTTGTTTCGGGAAACTAAACAAGGAATTTAAAAGTACGTAAATATTTATGTGAACCTAAGAATACAAACTTAACCTAAGAAAAGTGAATATCTGATGAATACATGGGAAGAATTACTGCGCCATTACTTTAATTTGTGGTATGTTTAAATAATTTCAACGATCTCCCTCGGTTCTAAATATTGAGATTATATCATTTATGAAACTGGCTTATTGTTAGGCAGTCGTTCATTCAGATAGGTTAGCTTAAACTATGGAAAAGTTTATTGTTCTATTCACAAGTAATATCTATTTACTAATGATGAGAATTACACTACTTATTACGAAACTATCAGTAAACACATATACAGAAGCGTATATAGTTCCAATATCTGAATGAAGAACAATCTGAAAGACACAATCTTCTTAAAGACACTGAGACACCACTCGATCAGGTTTAGACTGACACATTTGTTCCCGCTCTCGCATCACGTGATCAGTAGGTTAAGCTGCGCGCGCAGGAAAGGCGGTTTGTGTACTGCAATCAACTGATTTATTTAAATCAAAATAATTAATAATCTTTTCTTTCTTAATTATTAAAAATTGCATTAATGATTTCTAAACTACCATAGTAATTATTTATTTTCAGACATAACATATACATAAACATAGTTTTAGATACAAATATTTCCGTTACTCAATTCTATTTACTTTTCATCGCCATGACAATGGCACACAAACAATTCTTGGAGACAAATTTCAACAAAACAAGAAAATTTTGTCCGAAAAGCAAAAAAGAGAAAATGTCTTTACGAATCCACTCTTGTACCCCCTAGGTGCAGGAGGGCCCAGTGTCTCCAGCGTCCTCCTCCCTGAGCAACCAGAATCAAAACGAGAGCGAGCAACAGGTGTTACTCGCCACAATGCAGCCGGTGAACGTGCTGGACCTGCACGAGCCAGCGTCGGTGCATTCCCTTCATCCAAAGTATCATCACCATCACCGTCACCACCATCATCACCACCACCATCACCATCAGCAGCACATCCAGGGTGATCCGGACGACGTGCAGCAGCGGACCGGCGACGAAGCCGACGGTAGGGTGACGCCGGTCACCGAGACAGGACCCGGGAATCCGACGCTCGGAGTTGGCGAGCACAAGATGATTGACCTGATCTACAATGACGGTCAGAAAACCGTGATGTACACCCATGACAAAGAGATCATTTACGAGAACGAAGCTGACAGGGTGCAAGTGGTGGAGTATCCTCCTCCACCGCCCTCACCGCCATCCCCTTCGCCACCCTCCGCCGTCACGAGAACTGGATTGCTACCCCCGGCTTGCGTCACACCAAGATCAGCCTCGGCTTCCGCGGCGCTGCACTTGCACCACTATCCCCAGCTGCAGCTACAACACGAAGACGACCTGCCACCTGGCGTGCGCCACGCGGTGAACGCTACCGTGCCCAATTGCGCCGCTGCCACCACCACCACCACAGTCCTGGTCCTATCCGAATTGGTGGCCGCTGATCCTGCTGCCGGCGCCGCAGCCGCACAGCAACTTACCCTCACCGCTGCTGCTGCCGCTGCCTCGCTACGGGCTGGGTAAGTGAAAGAATGCTTCTTTCGGAATGTTTGGTGGAGGATTGTTTTCTGGTTCGTTAACTTGTTGGCTGAATTTTCAGCGTTTCGGATATTATTTATTCTTTTATGATTATGATAAATAATATTAAATCTGATCATATATTGTATTAAGATAACGTGTTATCGAGAGATCCGTTTGTACAAGATGTACCCATATGATACATCATCTTGAAAAATGATCGTCGTGAATGAGTAAATAAAAATAATAAAATGTATAGAATGAGATCTAGAAAATGTATAAATACGTTCGACGTGTATCCTGCGACGCACTTATTCAACGTCCTTGATAACTGGAGAACCTGCGGCCGCTGATAAATCATGTTGCCAGTCGCTTTACGATCCTATTGTCATATTTATTCATCGGGTTTGATTGATAGCAAGTGATATACAGTTATGCAGCAACTGTAAATGTTGTATTATAGTAAAAGCGCTTAATAGCGAAGGAACGTGTTTGGGCGTAATGCCTTTTAAAATTCATTCTTGGCTATGTTCACATTTTTACTTGGCGAGTTGTACGAAAATATTTTTAATAATTATTGTTTCGCATCGAGACCGAGCATTTTTTCCATTCAAATATATTGAGACAGAGGAAGGGAACAGTGTAATAACTGTACGAATACATCAGAGAATCTCCTGTCCCTTTCGAGTATCCTTTCAAGTAACTCTTCGGGCGAATATTTACGGTGGTCCGCATATGATAAGAAACATCCTGCGCGCTCAATGACACTCTCCGCGCGTCACCACTCCTTAAGGCATCGACGATATTCGCAATTTTATGAGTATTGGGAGATATATGCCCAATGCGCAGCGGTGTTCGTCAACGCGGCTCGCATGATCCACGGTATAAACGAAAAGCGGTACGCGAAATTCCTACGACAGGGAACCTGTTCGCGGCGAAGCGTTTCCCCGAGCTGTTTCACGATAAAAGTGGCGGTAATTTGCATTTTTTTCGCGGGCCCGAACGATACTGTAAAATGAAAACCGTGTTCGAGTTAACAGGTGGAAAAAATGGAGACAAATGGAACATTAACTATGAAAATTCGTCTATTTAAATGTTAAAATCACATCTCTTTCCCGTCGAGTTTTAAGTGAAATGTCTAATCCACTATATTCACTCGCGGGGGAAAAAAGGCTCGCATGCCATCTTGAAGCTGTATATACCGGTGGACGAAGGAAAATGATGAAATGCACTCTTAATGGATTGCTTGGTATTTACAAAAATTCATCGATGACCCAATTCCCTCCTCGAAACGGGAAAAAAGTAACAGGAATCTAGTTGTATAACGGTATTTGCTTATTTTAGATTAGCGGACCGCGAGTAAAAAAAGAGTGAAGTTAATTATACAACCAATGTATATTCATCGCCACCCAGAAATGTTCGATCACATGGTCGATAAAAAATAAGCATCGACGGTCCAATGAAAGATATGCGAATAAATGCTCGAACTTCTCTATATATCAAGTTAATATACTTAACCGAAGACTGCGTTATCTCCTAATTTATCTTCCTCTATGAATTGTGAATATTTATTACATTTAATAACACCGCTTGTTGCTCGCTGAATCCCGCCGCCGCCGCCGCCGCCACAGCCGCCGCGCATCTTTGAATCGTTCTTTCACCGTCGCCTCTCGCTTATTTTATTTCTACTCTCACTTCGATTTCAGTCTCCATTTTCCATACTATTTATATCTCGCCATTTTCCCCATTAATTTCTACACTTTTCTCATTCCACCGTTTCCTTTGCAATCCTCTTAATAATTCCAACAACCACGTTGTTACAATCTATTTCAAAACCTCATCGTCGTTACTACGATCGAATATTTTCAAGCTACATTGCACACTTACACGTTATACAGGCCTGCTAGATGCACGAACGGCCAACTACAGGCGATTCGTTATTCAATTTATCGGCACAGTCAGCGCAGAAGCATTTCCCGCCAAAAATACCGCGCCGTGGAAAGGGAACGGGGCGAACAATCGGCCGGCCACTGTGCCACGGAAAAATGAAATTCCGCGGCAACAACGAACCATGGCGGCCGGCAGCAGCCGCCGACAATTACTGATTCGTATTAAAGCGGCCGCGCGCGCTGTCCCAACGTGGCTTGGCGCGGGATAGTTTCTCGCGCCTTAATAAGCCGTAAAGTATCGCGAAAAGTGTCCCCGGTCGCGGACAGTAGCCTGCTCGCTCGCACGGAAAAACTCGAGTCGCCCTCCGCGTTGCGCGCACGTTGAAACGTGGCGCGCTATCGGGCTCGTGTATCAGCGCCGACAATTAACAATTATTGCGCACACCTACTCGCGAGCAGCGCGTTGGATAAGTCACGTTGCTGCGTAGAATTTATTATTACGACGGTGCGCGAATGTTACAGCTCCGCCCAGTCGCGGTGTCCCGCCGGATCGTCAGCGTCGTCGATCGATTCTGCCCCATCGAGCCAATCTACAATCTTCCACTTGCTTTTTTCTCTTCGTTTTTGCATTTGATCCACTTGATTCGATTTCGATATCGTCGTTTCGATACTTGTTACCGGATGATGCTCGTAACTCGTATCTGATTGCGGTTTCATTACTTTTCGCTGTTTTATGTGCGATCTGTCGACTAGAATTTATCTTGCGGCCGTTGATTTGGTGCTCCTTCTTCAGTTGCGGTGGGATTTCGATTGGTGTTTTTGATAGCGTTCGGTAGCAGGATTCGTGAGCTTGGATTGTAATATTTTCCGGATTTAAGAGTAATGATTTCGGTTCCACGGGCTAAATGATTCTTGTGGTTGGAGACTTGTGGGCTTGCGTCTTAATGTTGGTGGTATCTGTGAATTTTGAGTTGTTTGTGGATACACAGATATATGAAGAAATGAAGTTTATTGTAATTTCTTTTTGAAATGACGTTGCTAAATCTCTTCACGTATATTGATATATAAATATTAGTAGTGGCATGTATGTCTCTTTAAATATTCATAATTATTTTAGTTTCTTTATTCTATTCAATTCCCATATATAAACTGTATAAAGTACTACTAACCAAAAGTTCAAATCATATTTATTCCCAAAATTCATCTTCCAGAACGTTTAGCCAATGTCTACCGAAAAAATGTCTTTCTAAAAGTACTTTGAGACGAGGATATTGTTTAAAATCAATTTTCATAGAAAAACCAGTCCACGGTCCGCGACATTTAAATAACCCTGTACACGGCGAGCGACCTGAATAAACAACGAGCCGCTCGTAAAGTGCTCATTGTGTCTACGGTTACGCTCGCAGCCGTTTTCCAAAGCGGTGCTCGAAAATCGGAACGCAATCAAGATCGGGATCTACTAATTTGTAACATTTCCATATCGCGCTTGTATCTTTAATATATCCTCGCGGGCCGCGCGAAACATCGGTAAACACGGGAACAGCGCTTTTAACCCGGCGCACGGTACCGTATCTATAGAAATGACGTTCTTTTCAAATGTTGCGCGCTGAACTATGCGCACGCGTCCAACCGTAACACAATGAATAATCGGCGTCGGAACGACGGAGAGGGAAAAAAATCAGAATAACGTCACGCAAGTGCCACGGCGAATCAAACAGTTTGCGATAAACACTTCGATCTTACTGTGTCTCAAAAATAATGGGTACACCGAATCAACCGAAGGAACTTTCTTATTACATCCAATTCAATCTCGAAAAAACGTATATTTATCTCCAAATTCTCATAAAAATCAAAGTACATATAAACTCTTCATCGATTTCATAGAATATTTTAATTCTATCGGTTTCTGTTTAGTCGCTCGCAATATGAATATGAAAAATCAATCTACTGATCATTGAACCTTGAGTCAGCCGGCGCGAATTGTCATTTCAGGGCTGCGCGCGAGTCTTTAGTAGCGACCTGTAGTCGCGGAGCAGCGACGCGAACCGATATAACCATTAAAACGCTCTCGCACACAGCCGCGCACGCCTTGCTCTTTTGCAATAAATAAAAATCAGCTGCAATTAATCGGCCGTAAGATATGCACGCGGAGACCTTGGGGCCTCGAAAACAACCGTGTCTCCTTCTCCACCAGCGGGCTCCTCCCGACGGCC